GAGTTATTACCATGCATTTTAATCCTTTTTTGAATTAGTCCATGCAGATGCATAAATTTCATTGGCTCTGTCACTCAAATCCTGTCGGAAAAAGGCAATACTTTTTCTGCCATTTCAGTGAGCTGAACTGTTTCGCTGGAGCACCAAATAACGTGTGTGTGGCAAAAAATATACACTGAAACTTTTATTGACTGTCGTACCGAAAATGAAACTGCAAAAAAGCGGGCAAATCAAATAAACATTCCGCATAAAATAAATTCTGGGCATATCAAACAGCGCCACCCGAAAACTGAGTCTGAGCAAATACAATAGGATTTTCCGGTGCAAGGTGTGTGGCGTGGGGCATTTTCCGTGGAGTGGCAGCGATTGCAGTGCGGAGGAAAAAAGCAAATGCTGGAAATCAAATAAATCAAATGCTCGTAAATAAATCATTTGAATTTATTTTCATTTGGCCAGTACGAAATGTTGACAAAATAAAAGCACAATAAACACTCGGTGCCCAAAAACACGTCGCATTCACTCATTCCATCTAAGGAATGTAGATATATATAGTATACCATATATATTTATTTGTGTTGCGGGCGAGAGTAACAAGAGTCCTGCTGACTGACATCGGGCAGGCAGATGAAAGTGGCGAAAATAAGGACCCTGGCATCTCGTGAGCCTGTCACGAGCCAACGAAAGCTAAAATGTTATTTTCTCACTTCCAGCTTTGCAGCTGCTCCTGGGCGTCCTCGAGTGTCCTGATTCCGTTCGTGTGCCCTCCACTTGCGGTTAGTTATTTCGTCCTCAAGTGCCCCGCCAGCCCAGCAATTGTCCTTTCGCCAGACCGAAATACAAATAAACGCCGGCTTTATCGCTGCTTTTGTCGTATTTTATTTTATTAGTCACCGACCGTCGATTGTTGTGTATCCACGACAACATGACACGTCTGCCGCAATAGAGTATCTATATAATAAGACGATTATGGGCCACTGAACCAACCTTCCGAAGTAAAGATGATGAAATTCTTGGAATTTCTTCAGTAGCAAAAAACTTGCTAAACTCAGACCAGATGTAGCCCAAATCAATTTGCGCCAAGTAACATCAATAGGATTTGTGTCTTGGCTTACATAATATCTAAAAATACATTAATTAAAATCAAACATTTAATAGCAGTTGCCACATTCTAATTATATTTTGAAACTGTATTGAATCCAAAGATATTTAGTGAGTTCTATTTGAACCTGAAATAGTTTCCTTGCCCTGCATACCATCAAAAGGCACTTTCCCCCAACCCAAAATTTATTTAATATCGAGTTTGTTGGAAAGTTTTAGACAAATTAACAAGGCAGGCGCCCAGCTCCGTTGCAATTTGCAGCTTTCAACAGGATGCTCTGTCGGAGGTGGAATCCTTTAAGCCCGAGAATTGCTTATGCCAAATGCCGGCTGTAGAACAATTTGAACAAGAGTTTCTGCATCCTGTTCCCTGCGGTCGGATGTCTTCGGCTGCAGCTCCACATTTTAAATGAATGCTGAAAGGGGCAGAGTGGAAACTGAAAAGTTTTCCACCGAAAAACAAAGAAAACGAGCTGTAATTAATTACATTTTGTTTAAGTTCTCCTTGGCCGAGGGACGATTGATTATTTTGGGTGCAGATATTTGGTGCTTCATTTGTTTGTCAGCCGGCGAAACTCAAGTGCCAAAGTTCCACTTTTCTGTGAAAATCCGCTGCCGAGAAGTCTGGCACGTAGCTCCACCTCCCCTTTGAATCCATCTTACAATGTCTCGCTAATTGAATTGTTAAGCGCATTTGATGCGTTTGCTAAGTTGCTCTTAGGATGCAATTTTGCTGGGGATTTCTCGGCGAGCGAGTACAAACACTTGGCGGTCTGAAAGTGGGATGGCTGAGTGGATGGGATGGCTGCTCGTCTGCAACAGGCAATCTACAGGGTTTTTCCGGAAATGCTGGTTATAATTGTTTCCCCGCCGCCCGGCCACTTTTCCATCTCCGCACCGGCTTATTCACTTTGTTGTTCTGCAACTGTGAACAGCATCAACAACAATAAGGACATACATATGTTGCTTGCTTGTTTTGGCTTCTGTGTTTTAACAACTTCAAGTTCCCATGTTTTTCCATATACTCGTATATATAAGTTTTTTTCGCCTCCTCTTTTATGGCTTTTTATTTTTTATTATTCTGCTCCTTTTTTTTGTAAGTTTGGTTGGCCAGATGTTGGCTTTGGCGTTGGCTATGTGGGTCACTCACTTTTTGCGCTGTTAACTCATTTGAATTGCACGTCAACAATTGTGAAAACAAAGCGAAAACTTTTGCCATTTGTTCAGGCAACAACAAACAAACAGTATTCGACAGCGAACAACAACAACAACAAATGCAGTGAAAACAACAAAAAGAAGAAGAAGAAGCGGTATCCCAGAATGCAAAATCGCTTAGGGACTAAAGCTCTATCTGCTAATTCCTTGGATCATCCCCAAGCGTTGATGTATTTAATTGTGAGGGAAAGTTTTTAATTGCGACAGGAAAAACCACTTTGTGCTTGCTTTAAGCTGTTTCTCAAGGGAAAATGTCTTTGCCTTTCCGAAACAATTAGTGCACAAATTTAATAAACCCTTCACTAATAGTAATCATTTCTTATCAAAAAATATAACTGAAATTCAGTAAATATTTTAAAGAAATTCTTCCATGTTTGAAATAAGTTTCTCATGACATGGCAATAAAAAAATGCTTGGTTAAACTCCAGCTGTCTGCCATTTTTGCCAACACGACAGGTGGTCGACAAGTAGTTGCAGGATCTTTCCATAAATAAACGAGTTGATTTCCTGTGGCCCTCATAAACTTGTCATTCCGGTTCCATTTGGTAGGTATCACTTTTCTTTCGTTTCTTCTGCCATTTTCTTGCAAGTGAACTCGGCTAATTTACTTGGCTTGTTTCCGCCTCCCCGCAATTTCAAACCTCCTCTTTGTGGCGGCTTGTGGGATCGGGCAAGTTTTTATTCATTAAACTTCCGCCACATTTTGCGCTTTATATTTTGGCGCTTTCAAATGTCGGCCCGAGACACTCGACTGAAGAGCTACCCCCTCCCCCCTTTCCACTCTCCCCCCACCCACTTCCCCGTTATCCTGCCACCCAAAAAAGTATGCGGTTAGTTTTGGCCGGAAAGTTTATGCTTTTGTATTTCCGCCGGGGCTGGGCAACAGTTTTACCCACTTCCTCTTCGCTTTTTTTTTTCCTTTGGCCGACTTCATCTTGGGCCGGAAAAGTGCAATTTCAAAATTTGTGCTGCATTGAGGCTTTCTTTTCTTTGGTACGCCTCAAAGTAAAGTTAAGAAATGAGCATGTTTAACTTTTTGGCAGGCAAAGAAGCGAAAGACAGTCAACCGAGAACAAGAAAAATTCTTGTTTGCTGACTTAAATTTTCTTCCGCCGTTTCGATGCAAGGCAGCAGCTGCCGTTTGAGCCAAAGCTTGCATAAATTTGCATAAATTGCGTTAAGGAGGATTATAGAGCTCGCAAAATGACTTAAAGCCGGCAAGCCTGACGATAATTTCCCTGACCTCAATACGCGTTCTTTTTCCCCTTAAGCACTGTTAGGAAAGTTTTGGGTTAAGAATAAAACACAAGTGGCTAAATTCAGAAATAGCTATCTGGTTCAAAAAGAACAATTTTAGTCAATTTAGAAACATAAAAATCTTTTAATAAATTTAATTTATTCTGTAGTGTAAAATTGATTTTTAAAATAATATCCAAACAGTTTTTCTCAGTGGTTTTCCAATTTTTATTCGTATATAAGCATGCCAGTTGGCTGGCAATTGATTTGGCCAGCTTGTGCTGGCTTACGAGTTTATGACAAAACCACCAATAACCCATCAAACTCCAAACAGGCGATTTGTATGCGGTGCTCAGCGCCAGAATGAAGCAATTGAGTCACTAATTACTTTGTCTTGGCTTTAATCGTTTCGGCAACGCAAAAGAGCCCACTTCTCCGACGGCCAACTGTCCATTAAAAGCCTCTTCCCCAGTGGGCCAAATTGTTAAAGTACATTTGGCGGGGCGGGATGCGGAAAAGGCCTCGCCATTACCCCTTATAGCATAAACAATTAAATATTTAGGGGCCTGTCCACGCCTCCGGATAAAGGTCAAGGCTGTGGCCAGGACTAAAAAGCTCCTTGGGCGGATTCGGGCAGCTTTAGCTGCGTTAATTGGCCCGCCTTGGACGGCCTTTTGTTTGGTCTGGGCCTGAGTTAGCTAATGGCCAACTGTTTGAGCAGCATTTCAGAATTCCAAGGCGAGTTTGGCAATTCTAATTGCTAGGATTTGGCGCTACCTTGCCTGGAGCTCATCCAAAAACAGAGTAAAACCTTGGCAACTGCAGAGTCCTCTTAATAACAAATCCTTTCAAGTGCGCAGCAGTAACAAGAGTAATTACCAAATTTTTGGGTTGGAGTCTAACGGAGATAAGGGATGCTGCGCTAATTAATTAACATTTTTAGTTTTTAGAAAACTCAATCAATCACAATCAAATTTTACAAGTTCTCGAAACCACATGTTTCACCATCAGAAACATAATTATTATTCAGATAACCCATTTACTAGTTAAACTCATTCCACGTTGTCAATCATTAAAAGTTACTTTCATATTTTTGGAAAACCAAACTTTTTGTTAACCAAAGCTAATTAAGTGGCCACTAAAACGACGGAAATTGCCAGAAAAGCTTGCTTAGAGTTTTCGACAATGTCACAAGCTTTTAATGGCTACGGATTATGATGGCAATGGGGATAATGGTGTGTGTGAGTTTGTGTGCAAGACATTGTTGCTGACATAAATAAACGAACAATTTTAATTACCCTTTCGAGGACACAATTTAAACAATTTTAATTACGAACGAAAAAGCTACGAAAACTTAAATTAAAAAAATTTGAAACACAAACAGTGTTGTTCAAGGCCGCGAAGTGAAAGTTCAATTTGGGTAAAACATTTTGTGTGGCTTTTTTTTGTAGCTCAGCGCTGAGTGGAAAAGATAGTTTGAGTTGCACGCGAAATTTTAATGCCAACTACTATGAAAAACGCGCTGCGTTTTGATTTATGTGAACGCCATAAAAGTGCACAGCGTAAATTGCAAAAATACCTCAAAGGCAGCGGCAAAAACAACGACCACCACAGCAACTCATTAAAACTAGTGCAAATCAACAAAGGCGAGAGCAAACCGGAAAGCAGCTGGAGAATCACAAGGTTTCGGAGCAGCTACAGCTACAGCTAAACTTATCATTTTTATCACTCGCAGTGGGAAATCGCGGAAAGGTGTCGCGGCGGAACACCTGAAGAAAAAGCGGCTCAATTAATTGCTCAACGCTCTGCGGCTTTCAGCAGTTTGTTCCCATTACAGCCGCTGAAATAGCTTCGACTGCCTTTGAAACTCCGCCTGCGTAGTTATGGTCGATCCATTAAAAATCTTTTGGGTTTTGACGAATAGCACCTATTTGGGTAAGTGTGTGCGCCCATTTGTATACCCTATCCTATCCTGTGTGTGGCTGCTTAGAAGTGCACATGGTTACTTAATCGTACGTTCCAGCGTCGTTATACTTATGTAAATGGTCTTGTAAAAATTTCATGAAGTGTAATTTGTCGGGGGAGCCGAGAGTGAATGGCTCCGAGAATCCCAGTCTGCACGTGTGTACGTGAGGGATCCTGTCTAACGATACCTGAGGGGCTGCGGCTGCTCCTTGCTTTAAATATGCATTCATATTTTCCTGAGTTTCCTAGCGAAAATTGATTTTCCTTTCGTCGTAATGAAAAATATAGCAGACAGGCAGACACTTCTGATAATATTAAATGACAAACAAAAAATATATATTACGGACAAGTTTTAATACCAAATGAATTTTCTTTGAACGCAAATCACCAAAAAAAAATCAATTAAACCACACAAAAAGTATTGCCTACTTTTAAGGGCATTTTAAGAATTTTGATTTTTATAGGCAAGAAATGGTTTTTTAACTCCTTAGAGATTTTTTCTATCTAAGGTCGCCGCAATTTTTTTTTTTAATTGGAACTTTCCAGACTAGACCAGAACTTTAAATTAATTACTGATTAGCGTGACTTTTAATTTTAGAGCCGAAGCCATGACACCGCACACGTGGCGTATACGCAACATGGCTGAACTGATAAAAGTGCAATTTCTGCGCGAAACAGCATTTTAATTGCGGCTTTTGGTCTTGTCCACACCCTTAACCCTGTCATCACAGCCAGAAAAGCAACCCGTGGCGGATGTAGGTCGTAATTAACACGCCAGTGGACCGTCCCGTTGGTTAATGAACAGCGGCTACCAGGGCGATGAAAACGAGGCCCATAAACAAGGACTTCGCCACCACGACCACCATCACCACCACCACCTCACCTTGTCTTCTTGTCCGAGAACTCATTATGACTGACAAAATATTTGTCAACTCATCAACGCAGTGCCAAGGGACTGAGAATAGCGCCATATTTTTTTTTATATCGGTACACCATATTGTCTGCTTGTTTTTTTTTTTTTCAGATTATTTTGTTTTGCCGTTTGACGCTTTGTTTGTCACTGTCCACCGCGCGCACTTTTTAATTAGTCCGGGTTGAAAGGAAACTCACAGGAATTTTAATGCGCCTCGGAATGTAGGTAGCGCAAAAAACCTCTTCTAAACATTTCATAAGTTTAATTAACAATTTTTTGTGTTGGTTAATGCGCGCAAAAGCCAAAAGAGGAGGAGTGGTTCGGATAAGGCTGAAGTGCTGGTCACTTCCGGCATCGGATGTTGGTAACGATGATCATCATCATCGGGTCGGCTAATGAATACAAATATTGCGCGCTCTTGGACCCGGTTTTAATTGAAATTTCAGCCCAACAAAGAGGCTCGCGTAAGGCTACGAAAAATTCGAGCCAGCCATCATCAAAGTTAATGAGCTGCACGCTACTGGATACAAAAAAAATAAGAGTTGAATACATGGGCGGCTGAGCCCAAAGGGTATTATTTGGATTTCGTGGGGTTCAACGAGTTCATTAAACGGATTTAATTGTACTTTTTCGGTAGAAATGAGTTTCAGCAAAAGGTTTCCCATTGAGATTTCTTTTAATGCTTATTCAGCAATGGCAGAAATAAATGAATCGGTTCAAGAGCTGTCTAAATAATTTTTAATTTAAAGTTTCAAAAGGGGAGGGAATACAACCACGTTTTAGTTTTATTGTCAATAAATCAAAGTTAAAATACAAAATTGTGAGTGCATAATACAATATATTTATAATTTTTTATACTAATTACTTAATGGACATAATAACTTACGGGGGACTTACACAGAATGTCAAGTGTCAACAGCAGTTGTACGAAAGTTCAAAGTGTACCGACCACAGCGATAAATTAATGGTAAAACTAATTATAAAACTCCCTCGCTCTCAAACGTTTATGTCAAAAGTCAAATGAGCTGCCATTATGCGACTGGTTCAGCTGACAAAATCCAGAGATATAAAGCGGGACCCTTGGCTTTTGCATACATCAACATAATGGGCGTGTAAAAACTGTCAGGCAGTTTAAACTTTTGCTGCATGACATATCACGCATACGCACTGTTAACATCCTTCCTCTTCCGCTCGCCAACACGTGGCGCATTAAACTAATAATAACTTTGACACGCAAAGTTGGGTGATAATTTCCCAGTGCCCTTCCCCTTACCGCTCATCGATCTCTGTCAATATTTGTTTTACTTAGAACAACCGAAAAGTTTTTTGCGTATTATACAGAAAACTAAACGCGAAAACTTAATCCAAAATACATGAGTAAACACAACATGAGATTATCATAAACTTACTGAAAATTTATTACACAACGCGAGTGTGTGTGTGTGTGTAAACTACGCCCCTTTAAACGCCCTGCGGATTAATATATGTTGCCACAAAAACATTATGGTTATTTATTCGCACTCCACTGCTGTTTATTTATCTGTTCGTTTGTTTTGATGTCAAGCGTTTCGGCCTGCAAACTAATTAGCAAATTAAAACTGGTAATTTATTTATTTGCGGCAGAACTTTGAAGTCCTTTGTTTAACTAGATTTTCCCAATTATGCCCAAGGGCAGAATAGTGCCTGAGGTGAATAACAAGACGATTTTGGTTTTCTTTGTGAGCAAATAGACTTTGAACCTTGTGGCTGAAACGTAATGAAATAAATCAACATTCGAGTTATGAAGAAGGATTGCTTTAAGCATTGTTAAAACTACAATTATAAATCTCTTTATAATTTCTACTTTCAAAATGAATATTAAAATTTATTCATCGAACATCGATTATTAAATATAAGGTCGAGCAAATAGCATTCAAAAGAGCCACCCAAAAGTGGGATAATCTAGACCCAGGGACAACATAAACAATCCCATGGAAACCCCAAAGCTTTCAGTTGTCAAAGGAAAAGCCCCCACACTTTTTCCCTCCATCCTGTCAGTTTTAATGTGATGCGCTTTGTTGCCTTTTGGAAAATGTAGCTTCCGCCATTTTTTTGCCTTACAAAAACTACTTTGACTATCTCTGGCTTTGCGAAAGTGTGCGTGTGTATCTGTGTTTGCCATGGCTGATTTGAACAGCTCTGACATTTGACGCCACTTTGCACACATTTTCCCCCTTTTTCCCCCTTTTATTTATTTTGCTTTGCTGAACAAAAAGGCTAAAAAAAGGGGAACAACAAAAACGAATTCTAAAGCAGCATATGAAATAGAGAAATGTTTACGGGGGGTGCAAAAAACGAAGGAAAAAAAGTAGTGCCAGCTGCCAGTCATTCATGGACTGACATATGGCTCACCTGCAGGTGGGCGAAGCTACTGAAGGGGGCGTGGCAGGGCTTGTTAGTGTGCCAGTTATGCGGCCATAAATAGCTGACGGCTGCTCACCTGCCACTGCCCCCAGGCCACGCCCCTTCATCCCCCAGCCGCCTTCGCCTGAACGTTAATAGTTTAAAGCGAGCCCTTTTGACTGTCCCGCTGCCGAGCGGGGAAAGTGGGGAAAAGCGGAGGGAAAAGCGAGAGCGTGATGGCTGGCTGATGACTCGGGCGCAGTTCACTTTGCTGCTCAATTTAACACCAACAAAAAAGGCAGCCACTTTAACCAAACAGGAAGCTGAGCTTTTCAAGAGAGTCAAGGGGCTAACGAAAAAAAAAGGAAAACATAGAAAGATGAGCAGCGTTGAATTTTGGGATATGTGGGATATTAAAGACACCATATCATACTATGAACTATAAAAGAATCGTATTAACCTAAAATATTTTTCTTTGCTGGAATTCATTCTACTCAAATGCCATCAATGAAATTAAAATGTGTTTACATACTTCTGCTTCAACTAGTCAAATGAACATATATTCTTTGTAAACTTGATTTTCCGCACTCTCGCTTTCTATGTTGCTCCCATGTTTGCCTTTAACTTCAGTCAGTATTTCACAGACCATTCGCTGCCAAGATTCGTTTATTTTGTTTACCTGGCCATAATGCCAGAGTGGCAAAAAATTAAGTCAAGACGGTTGAGGAAAAAAACAGAGCAAAATGCAATTTCGACTGCCGGCGATGTTTGCTCATCGTGTTTGCCTGTGTATTTGTATTTATTCAGTATATTGTAGCTACACACATTCGTTCAGCTCCTCGGAGTTTTCCTCCTAAACGCTTTCTACTCAACTCACTTTCCCTTCTTTTAGGGGTCTTATTTATTCGAGCTTTGCGCTCGAGCTGATGCCTCCAAAAAACGAATGTGTGTGTGAGTGTGTGTTTATTTTGCTCATTTCTCATTTTCTTTCATTTTCTGGGGCAGAAAAGAGGACCATATTACGTGCTAGACTTACCTGCAAACTAAATAAAGCAAAGAGCTAAAGTCTAAATTAGATTCTATTTGTCTTACCCCATACTTGAGTATAAAAGACCTGAAAGGCAAGGAGTTAATTCACTTTTTTATTTCATTTTTCAATGAAAAGAATTTTCAAGTTTGACTGAGCATTCAAACGAATGAATGTTGTGTGTGAGGGTAAAATGTTAAGAGGCCTAGTGAAAAAGGGGCAAAAACCTGAAGCACATATTTTTTCTCTGAAATAATTTGTTAGTTTTTCTAACTTTTCTTTGTAGGCAACTTTTGACCAAATCAATTAGGTTACAAACAAAGAAAACAAAGCCCGCACAGATTAAACTGCTTTACAAAATCTGCAATGCAGTGTTCAGCCAAGTTAAATATCGAAAGTTTGCTTAACACATTCGCTTGGCTACCAAAAATTGTGTATTCAATTTATGTCATTTGCACAATAGTTGCGAAAAATTCAAGGCAAAAACGTGTAAACCGAAGTAAAACCTGTCGAGGTCCTTAGTTGTATTTCCAGTTTGTTTAAGTGAAGGATACATAAATTGCACATTTACAATGTACTGCAGCCATATTTTCTTCGTCACATGTTGTGTTTTAAAGCTGCTTTAAAAACGATTAAAAGCCGCAAGGAGCAGAGTGCATTTTAAAGAAATGCTTTTGCAGCCGAAAGGATTGCCCCACAAAATGTCGGTCTTTCAATATAACGTATACGAAAAGAAAGCCTGCTGGCAATATTAATTCTGCCGTCCCACACTGCAGATTTTGCTCTTTTATGATGTGTGACTGCCAGACTCGGTTACTTTGCTCTGGTTGTTAAAGAACATTTACTCTTCTTGAAAATATACATTTTATCGTACTTATATTTTTGTTCAACTTGTGGAAGCTTTTTGTGCTCCTTGTGAAAACAGATTATTGCTTCCGTCATGTGGGAACCGAAACCAAAACAATATGAAAGACCTTTCAAGTCATCCTCAGGCTCTCTTGAGAAAATTGAACGTTTTAAACACTTAGTTAGTTATGTCGACTAAAGCAGTTTATTGCAAAATATTTTATTAGTCAAATGGAAGAGAACTTAATTATTTAGGGGAAAGCTAAGAGCCTGAGCATATTTCTGTGTTAATGGACCGACTTTTAGGGGCTAAAATATTTTTCGGTAAACAATTGTCAAGCTTACCAAAGTTTATAAACTTTCCTTGGTGGATTGCAAAAATCCACGCTTATTTGTGAAGTGCAGTTCCTTCCATATTCGCCTCGAGCGCCCCTCCTCGAATAAAACTCATTAACGCACGTTCCAGCTCCGAAAACTAAACTACACAACTACCAGAAAGTTTTGTTTGGCAAGACATTAGCAGGAAATAAGCAAATAAAGCGAGGCAAACAAACGTCACTGCAGTTGCCGAAGGGTGCGGAGAAAAACCTTCAATTCGCTGTGCACTTTGTGAAAACTTATTTCGCTTCCAACTGAAAAGGGGGACGCAAACTTTTCACTTTGAGTAGATTGTTCTGATTTTGTTGTGATTTTTGTTGGCTTTCAGTTGCGCAGCATATTCTTATAGTTCGGGTCTATTTGAGCAAGGGCTTTGTGTGGTTCACCAGGAGAATAACAATTTCGAATTTATATATTTATTTACAATAACATCTATTTCAAATGTTATGTGTACTCAATGTGTTGGAAATAAGATACCAAATAATGTTTTTTATATATGGCGATTCGATACGTCAACAAAGTTTTTGGATAACTGGTAGCTATTGTTATGCAATTTCAATATTTTTCGGTGTATAGTAAACTGGGGAATGTGTGTAACGTATATTTGCCTCTTTTATGCCTGCCACGTTTTGAACATAAACCGACAAGTTTACGACTTCCTCGACCGCAAAGGAGGCACGCGCGCAATTTGTCAATCAATAAATTTGCTATAATTAATGCTGCTTATTGGTATTTCATACACTAAGAGCATGCAACGAAGCAATCTATTTATATAGTATCTATATCATGGCTTGTCTTCTTTTTTCTCATTTGCAGTTACAAAATTTGTACGCATTGGTATTGCCGACAAAAACGATTCACCGCCATATTTCGATAGATTTCTGTACGAGACTGAAATCGATGAAAATGCCGATTTGCAGAGCACAGTCCTCACTGTCAACGCCAAGGATCACAATGAGTGTGAGTAACAACCCAAGCACCAGACATAAACAATAAACCATCCCCTCCCCCTTAGAATAATGCGACTTAGTCCCTTTATTAAATTGGATTCTTGCTTAGGACACTTGTACTTAATCGCTCGAGCAAAAGAATATATATTGCATAAATTGCCAATTGATTTAATTAAGTGTGTCTTTAATTGTAATTCTCCAGGGACTGTGTGCACACATGTCATGGGCAATGATTTGCATTTGAAAGATATTAAGATGTAGACAGCTGCTCCAGGCGCCGAGTCCCTGAAGGATGTCAGTGAACTTTAGATAGATGGATGCATGCTCAAAAATTGTTCGAGCAATTAAGCACAAATAAGCAGTAATTTATTCAAAGCACTAAACTTCAATTTCCCTGAAAATTTATTAGCATCAGGATAAAGGAAATAAATTATCCTATACATTTTATTTAATTTTGGTTTTAATCACTAAACCATATTTTCATGAAAGCTTTAATTTATAACATAAAACACAATATTTTTCTCCATCGACCATGCATTGTTTAGAAATCAATTGATTTATTCTGTGCATCTGACAAGTTGATAAAATTAAGTCACTTGTGAACTGTGAAATATTTAACAGAAGCAGTCAAAAGCATGTGCAGAAAATATCGATTAAATAAGAAAATATATAAAAACACATCATGAGGAAACTAAACAAATTAAGCAATAAATTTGTTTGGAAGTCAAGTGGTTTTTATGCATTGATAGCTACCTTCTTATTTGACCAGCTTACCTAAGAGAGCAATAATAAAATCATCGAAAAACAATTTCTTGCTTAATTTTTGCCAATCATGCGTCAACGACATTTTCAGTCAGTTGAACTCATGAATCCTTAGACTTCCTTCCATAAAGCATAAAAAATTATACAAAAGTATATGTATGGGATGTCATAAACATTTAGAAAAAACCAATTTGGCAATTTCCCTCATGGGGCCGCAGAAAATGTATGCATAAATATAAAAGCGGCGGTTGAGAATATTTTCCCCTTCCCGCTGTCATAATAGACATTTACAACATTTATTTATTTTAATACTTCGCAGTGGCTGTGTGTGTGTGTGTGTGCAGCCATTGTCAAATATTATTAGGCATCAGCCATGTACCGCAAATATGTACGAAATATTAACAAATGAAGGCTCATTGAAGCCAAAGATACACAAAGAAGATACAGCTCGTAGTCATGCATAAATCCATAAAATACGAAGACAAACACAAATGGAGAGCAAGTGAGCATCTAATATGCGTATTTGTATATCTGTCTATTGATTCCCATGCGGAAATTATTATTGTTAATACAGCGGGGAGGGACGGAGAAAGTTTTGCGTCTGCGGCAGATACGATTTGCAGCACGAAAAACATTCAAAATCTCATTGAAAGCGTTTAACAACTTTTTCCCAACCGAGGGGATCGCAAAACTTGTGGGTAGAACTTTGTCGTTTCTTGGCAAAGGCTCCCCAACAGCAACAGCTCGCAAAGGACATCCGAGAAAAGTCTGAGTCCTGAGTCCTTGTTGTCGCCGGCGCGACGACTGCGAAAAAGCATTAACCCGAATTGGAAAAAAACCAGAGCAGCTCTCACAACAATAACACAGTGCTACCAAGACATGATATACATAAAAAAGTTTATAGTATCGTTCGTCTTAAAAGTATATGTTATTTAAGCTGGAATAAAAAATTTTATTTCATTATTGCACTTTGTAGAATGTCCTTTTCAATTTCGTAAAATGACTTCCCATAACAACAACTTATTGAATTCATAGGAAAATTTGAATAAATCCGTCTTAGGACTTCATTTTTAATGTTGCCCAGTGTAATCTCCCTAGAAAGAAGGGAAACAGCGCCGGCAAACGGAAAAATAAATGGGCACACGAAATTTTTGAACTACTCGCCGAAAGGAGGGGATTTTCTCTTATGTGTGAGAGTCGCATGGAATATGAATTGAAGGCTATGACTAACGAAACAGGGTCAGGACAAATCTTTTATGCGATTTCTTGCGTTGCTATGTTTGTGTCTACTTTGCAATACGAATGGAGCTGTAAAACTTTTGTGCCATTGCGTGCCACATTGCGAATTTATGAGCGAAAAGATTATTTATTTGAGTGAGCGCAAGTGGTTGCCATGTGTTGGCCAAATGTTGTCACATTCGAACCAGTTCGAAGAAGTTTTCGCCACCCCAAAGGCAACCGATGCTCATTTATTTCCACAAGTTGTCCTGCCACCGCTTTAAGAACTCATTTTAAAGGCGCGCCAAAATGGTGGCTCAGAAATAAACAGGGAGTCCAGGAACCTTTCAGGGTGGGCCATAAAAACACTTAGCAGGCACCCCATACCTTAAAAAAAAAAAACAGAAGCAAAAAATGAGCACACAAAGACCTAGAAAGATCAAAAACCAGGGCAAAAAACAAGAATGTTTTCCCTCCACTTTCTGAAATGGCTTTTCATGCTAAATAAGTACACAGACAACATCGCAGAGGATCTGAAGGGCAGGGAGGATACTTTTACTGCCTCGGCTGCTCCCATGTGTGCCCGGGTCTCTGGTGTCTGCATATTAATTTATTATCATTATCAGTGATTTAAAAATGGCGTCATGACATCGTAAATTGTAAACGTCATTGTCTAAGACTGGGGACTACTTAACACGACGCGCCTGAGCAACTCCTAATGTCCCTGTTGTTGTTATTGTTGTTATTGTCGGGCCAAAACAGGAAAAAAATCTCGGCGAGCAAAAAAGAATAAGTACGTTTTTGAACTACAGCCATTTAATAGGTTTGGTCTTTAAGCGTTGAGCAGTAAATTTAAATGAGAAAATGAACATAAAAAATGTGTTTCGAGCGAGGGTGGCTGCTGATGTATGATACTAAATGGTACTCAAATTATAAAGTAGGCTTGATATGCTGTTATCTTTTTAAAATAGTTTACAAGTTCAAATCAAAGTGTACAGCTCCAAAAATTGTTAAATAAATAAATCGTTCACGTGGAGAAAATAGGAATACAATAATATCAGTCATGAATTGTTCATCTCTGAAGCGCTCTTTAACTTTTGAGGAAAATTCGATGGTTATTGTTCCCGCAAAACGAAAACGCAAGTGCAATGGAAGGAATTTACCAATAGTAGCAGTAAAACAATCAAAAGTTAAGGAACCTGAGATTCCACGTGACTACATGAAAAATTTACCCGTTCTTCCTGATTCTGATTCAAGTGATTCCGAAATCGATTCTCAGAAGCCTCAAGTGATTTCCACGAAGTCAGTTTCGAAGTCAGATAATCAAAAATTGTTTAGCTTTCAGCAATTGATTTCAATTTGCTACGGAATGATGAGTCAGTGTGAAGAAGACCTAAGAGAGGAATATGAACTAGAGTTGACCCACAAATTGACAGAACAATATGATACCTTTATCAAGTTCACCCACGATCAAATGCGTCTAGAAGTTGGACGAAAATCGAGTTATTTATTATAAACATATAACAATTATTTTTATACGTTTATATATTTAAAATTTTCGTTATACCTAGTTCTGTTGCATATAAATTTGTTAGTTAATACTTACATATGTAATATTATGTAATATAATATTGACTTACTGTGTCAGCTTGGATAATTTAGATTACATTTTCAAGAATGAATAATAAGATTGCTGATAACAAGAATAAAAGATAGCTTTGGCACGCCTAATCACTAATTACTAATTATGCAGTTTGTTTTGTTTTGTTAGATAATTAAAATACAAGCTTTTAGAGGTATGCCACTTTAAAATCCGATTACAATTGGAAAAGTTATGGACTCAAAATTAGTGAATTTTGGTCAATTTGCAGCAAACCCTTTAATGGAAATTTTGAAAATTTTTCGAAAATTTCGAAATTGAAACAAAATTGTCCAAAATTATAATACCCTCTGCAAGGGTATAAAAATGCCTAAAAAAAACTCTTGAATCAGCTCTCCAACTTAATTGTGCAGAAAGCTGTTCAGATCCATAAACAGGAAAAGCCAAATGTGGCCAAGTTTTAATGCCTGAAAACTCCCGTTTCCCGACATCCAGCTCAGCCACTCCCCTTCATTTTCCATCCTTCCATCTTCAGCTAGTCGAGCAGGTTAAGCGATTTACGCGTCGCTAATTTACGCTAATGTTTGCCTTTCACATTTCCGCATAAATGCACAGACAATGTGGCAACATCAGGACACATTTTCCCCGCTTTCCCCCACTTTCCACAGACGCGTTTCCCTTCAGACGTGTCCTGGTTGTCACATATGAGAGCATTTCCATATTCCGCCAGCGAAGACAACACTTTCGCAGGCTTTTTAAACATGGAATAAGTAAATTATATGGCATCTTGTTGGTCCTGGCACTCTTGTGAAACATTGGAGACATGTCCTCTCCCGTGGGTGCAAAATGTTTTTTAATGAACTTAATTATTTCTGCTCCCTTCTACTCTCTGTTTTTCTTTCTCATTGACTTTGTTCCTTGCTTTTTAATCTTGGGGAATTTTGAGGGAATGTGAGCTGAGTAAGTGTTTTCTTTTCGGGAGTTTTCCGAAAAATGTTTATTAAGATTTGCGAAAAATTATAACACTTAAGGTGGTGGAGTTTATTGATTCCCCACAAGAAATTAATTAGCGATAATATACGGAGCTGGAGAATTCCTGCTGTTAACAAATATGTTGAGATACAGAATTTATAAATCCCCAGCCAAGCTATGAAGCAAGAATTAAGGATCAAATTACTCGGCTTCTTAGACTAAAAAGCCTTTGGCATTTTTAATAGACTCAAATAAGATTAAAGTCCATTAAGATTAAGCTGAGTGAGACGTATGTTCTTGACAGACCAATTCAATTACCCCTCTTAATTAAACAGCATTTTTAACGTTGTGTTTTTATTGTTAATTTCCAGCGACGAATATTCGATACCAGATCACAGGCGGTAACATAGGTAATGCCTTTGCCGTACAGAATACCACTGGTGTCATCTACGTGGCAAGTCCACTCGACTATGAAACGCGGCCAAGGGTAAGTCTACAACTGCTTCAAGGCTCGTTTTAACCGAGTTACAAGACTGAACAGAGAAAAAACATTTGTCTTTATTATTTCGCTAAGCAAAAAAGTTTTTAAAATACAATAAATGCAACAGATACAAGAATTCTTTGTTAGAACATAAATAACATTCCTAAAATATTTTACAGAAAAAATGCCTGAATAACTTTCTTGATAAAACAAAACCACTTTTTAAAGCTTCAGGTATTAGCAATCAAAATAAAAAAACGGAATTTTTAATCTATGAATACCTAAGTTTTTTCTTTTTCTGTAACCACTTGTCTACAAGTTGATGCACATTTTTCTTAGTCCTATTTTTTTAGTAGGTACCAACTTTCTGTTGCATGCATAATTTATATATTTTTCTGCTTTGGCGAGAACAACAAAAAAATGGAAAATATGTAAAACTATGCAAAACTTTCAGGGGGTTGGTAAAACTTTTGGCCAAGCAAGTCGGAGCGAATAAAAAAATTAATCCGAAAAAAGGGAAATTTGCTTACATGCAGAAAGCATTTTCATCTCAAAGGAAGAAAAAAGGGGAAGAGGGGATATATAGATAGTTACAGCTGTCGTTACTTTTCCCAATGCGCATTTTTAACATGATTGCCAACGCACCAATCTATCACGGAAAAAAACACCCTTTAAAAGTTGGTCCATTTTAAGGTCTGTTAAAATTATAGAAATAAAGTTGACAAGGAAAACAAAAGTTTCCTTTTCGATTAAAGTTGTAGCATTTATATTTTACCCTACCCCACTTTAAATTGCAAACTGTAAGAAGCACACCCTGTTAAGTACCATCCTTACCCATTTTTTCCGAGTGGAAGACAGACATGTGTGTAGAATCCGCCAACATCCTGCATCGCGCACTCATCACCTATACGCAACTTGTTTTGGCACCCCCACAGGACTGGAAATCCGTGTAGCTGTCAATGCCCGACCATGCAACAAGCAGTGGCACTGGTGGTGGCAGTGGCAATGGCAGTGGCACAACCAAAACAACAGGCCACAGCATTCGGAACATGTGTTGCCAATTTTGTATTTGGTTCTACTTTTTTTCACGTTGTTTTGCTCCTGCCCGTGTAAAAGTTTCCATGGCCATTCATGCGAATTTGGCTTTTGTTGTCCAAATTGCGACGCGGCAGGCCCAAGCTCGTCGACATCAGACGCATTAAAGCCGTCAGGCCGAAATAAATCTCTTTGCAGATATTATTCTCTATTTTTTCATTTCTCTACAATGCCCGTTGCAAATATCCATAAGCGTATTTTTCGCTTTTAAAACGTTTTGCTGATTGAGGTAAAAAGTTTTTGTGCTATACACTTTCTCGCATTAGCAGTGTTTGGCTGGTATAAAAGGCATTATAATATTTAAAAATCCATTATTTTTCATGTGAGTGAATAAACAATAATTTAACTACTTGAAGAGTTTTAAATATAATCAAGCTTTCCGTTTATTTTGTTTACTAGACAAGAGTATAAATACTATTTTTTAATAAATACATAATTTATTTTTTTGCAGTACGAGCTGCGGCTGGAGGCGACGCGGAATCGCAAAAACAACTACACCACCGTTGTGATCAACGTTCGCGATGTCAACGATAATCCACCTGTATTCGATCGTCAAACATATCGCACACAAATCACTGAGGAAGACGATCGCAATCTGCCCAAACGCATTCTGCAGGTAAGTTTTCGTCTTAAAAACTTTTACCGACTTCTCAGAGCAACATTGATCGTCTCATTGGCTTAACACAATATAAACATTGATACCAACAATGCCAGGGAGACACAAAAAGGAAAAACTCAAGCCGAAAAAAATGAATACAATACACTTTATTTGCATAAGAAGCCAAAAACTTAACAATAAAATCGAGACCGGCAAGCCGAAGGCAAACAGCAGGCTTAAAACTCAAGTGGCGACCGGATATCGTCCGGCATGTGACGAAAAATGGAGAAAATGAGGAAAAGTGGGAAAAAGTTGGGCAAATGCTTTTCATTCGTGTGAACCATTCAGCTGTAAATACAAATAAATACTCATTCATTAATAATAACGTGATAGTTGCGCTGCGGCAGTAAAATGCGCACACAAACGCAAATACGAACACCAATTTTATTGTGTGTACGCATACACCCCTACTTATGCACGTAAAAACACTCATTTATATATGTACATATATATAAATACGTATCTGAACGAGCGACTTTTATTCATGCCGGCATTTAACAACATAAAGGCCAGTGTGGAGGAAACAAGTTTATACCCACATCAAAATTTGAATACACTTTAACGGATGCAATGAGAAAACTTTTATCTATGTTTGGTAATTGCGGGAAATAAGCGTATGCTACCAGCAATATTACTTATTTCTAAACTGGAGTTCAAGTATTTTTTAATATTTTTTTTAAATTCACATTTTTCCCAAGCTTACGCTTAACGCCCAATTACTGAAAAGAGCATTAATGCCTACTTGCATCATTTTTTAACATTAAACACAAATTAAAATTGCACAGTTCAGCGGGCGTAGCCGCGGCCAATAAATAAGAGTAAAAAGAAAAACAAGGCGAATTTTTAATTACACATTTATGGCAGGCCAAAGTGCGATCCATGGAGCATTGTCACGGCGCGTCCAATTATGAAGGATATATAAGGATATATACGATGCATTTATGGCTGGGCGAAGCGAATGGAATGCGTTTGCTGTCGCCAACACCTTTGGACCCAAATTGATTCCTGTGCTTGCAAAATAAAATGGAAAAATTTCATAAAAAGCCCTTCACTAGCGCGAGGATTCATTGGGTGGGATTTGGTGGCCAAGGCATTTAAATTATGGCCGTAAATGGTGGGAGAACGTGTGTGTTGAGCAAAAGGACAATGGCACGCAGCCCGAAGGCTCGCTTCCGCCTCCAAAATGGGCGGGGCTGGGCAATAATAATGGGCACAATGATGGCACGTAGACAACTCTTTTGTCATATCAAATTGTGTTGAACATTTAACGTAAATTGTCGCATTGTGAATGTGCAGCGGGAAGCGGATGGCCGTTGAAAATGGTGGGTGGATGGGTGGTTGGGTGGAAATGGCAGGCACTTAACACGTGACGATGATTTAATGGACCAAGGACCCAAAGGATATTGCTACAAGTTTGCTTGTAATTGTCAACTGAAGCTCGCCTTTCTTTCATCATAATAGAAAATGGGTTGCACACATGCAGGCCACATGCATAACTGGTTTTGTTTCCACAGACACATTAGCACACAGACAATCCACACAGATACTACTACAACACTCCACTATCGCATGCAAAAAGGATACAAAGAGAGATATGAGATGCAAACTGAACAAGGCAATTATTGCTTTTAATTGACATGACAATTGTTTATAGGCTCTTCCACTGCGTTGTTTTCCCCTTCAACAAAGAGATTTCCATATGCACAGAAAGAAAAAAAATATTTTTGATGTATTTTAAAAATTTTTTTCTTGGAAAGGCTTCCACAATTTTTTTGGTTTATTATCATAACCTCCAACTATTTTTTATAAGTGTATTAACATTCAATTTAAAAATACATGTTTTCTGTGTACACGCTTTGTTCTCCATGTTTTATTTTTTTCTGTTGATTGTTAAGTAGCGATTACAAGAACTTGCAAGTTTTCATTCAACTTGTTTTGATTCAACTTGTAAGCCACTTATAAACATGCAAATCCTCGCAGGAATTAAGAATTTTCTCAAGAAATTTTAAGTCATCTTAGACTTAAAGAACTTTTCAGTGGTAATTTTAATTTATTTGATTTTATTGAATTGTACAACTTCTCAATGAGCCCAAGCAAACTCGATAAAAATTTCCCCTGCCTATAATCAAATATTCCAAGAAAATGCTCCTAAATGTTGATTTAATTTACCAATCACAATACCACAGCGAAAACAATAAAAATAAAACAATAAAACAAAGGAAAAACCGAAATCCGATTGAATAATTACATAAATCTCTGCAATATTAGCATTTCATTCCTTTTTTTGTCTGGAAATATGTTGTGGCCAGCGAGAGAGGGCAGAAATAAAATGTGCAAAAATAGAAGAGCAAAAAAATCGAAGCATAAATTTACAAGCAATCTGGCGGGCCAAAGGAAAAATACCATCCACGCCCACCGCCCAGAATTTTCAGGCCCCTCCCACAGTTTTCCCCATTTCGACATTCACGTTGGCCTTTATTGGACATTTAAAGTATTTGGCTCATTTGCATATTTGATTTATAGTCTCCAATATCGTAAGCAGGGTCCAGCTTTCCCCAACCTGGGTATTTATCCCCACCGAATAATGCAATTTTTGTTACCAACCTGATTTCGATTTCTCTCTTGGACTCGTTGCAGGTCACAGCCACCGACGGCGATGTAGATAGACCAATAAATATTGTATATTTCCTGACTGGCCAGGGCATCGACCCCGATAATCCAGCGAATAGTAAATTTGATATAAATCGCACGACCGGCGATATTTTTGTACTTAAGGTAAGTGTGATTGCGACCACCTTTTGCGTTTTAAACCGATTCCAATTTTGAGTCCGCTCGTAAAACGAGTGTAATGAAAGCCAGTTAAAATTCGCGACAGCATTTCAAGCCCAGCAAAAAAAAAAAACATGAAGAATGAACAAAAACAGGAAAATAACTTTTTGTTTGTGCCCCAGCTGGGGGTACTCTATAAGCTCCGGGGGCCATTTTTTGGACAGGAGGACTTTGCTTTGGCCGTTTACAATTGAGCCACAGTTTATGCTCGCACAATGGCGCAGTTTATATTGTGTGACGAGTGAGCAGTTAAAAAACGAGAGAAGAGGGTCACAACGGCGTGGCAGTGGGTCTACCCGGATTTTATGCGGGTCTTCTGACCTTGTTAACATTGCTGTCGCAAAGAGAGTTTTGAATTAGTTCAGGGAGCGCTACATACGTTTTATTAAGAATAACAAAGCTTTAGGAAACATTTAAGTGTTTAATTAAAAAAAATTGGTAAGCACTCTGGCAGAAATATTTTTAATAAAAATTAAACTAGAAGTATAAAAAAAATACAAAAGATTTTTCTGAAATTCAAAAATATATTCACTAAAACCATTTGGATCAATCAAACAACATCCATCATCTTGACACCGCTGTAAACCTTTTTTGCAAATGCGACACTCTTTTCATAACCGGAAGAGCTTGAAAACGTGTTCAATATTTACCACTTTTTGTCGACTTCTGATTGCTGTCATCCCTTACCATCGTCGATTCTGCGACTTTTGTAAATTGTAAAGCTTTCCACGCGGTTCGGTGGCGTATGATTAATTTAAAACTGTGTCATACCGCACACACACACACACTCGCTCATAAACAAATGCCACACCCTTTGCTACGCGCTCCAACAAAAAATAATGTCATTTAGATGCAAAAAACTGCCACCGTCGGTTGTCAGATACATATACTCCAATTAATTTCTGACAAAGTCCATAAAAACCAACGTTTCAAAGTGGCACAAAACGAACGAGTGGAAATTAGTGTTGCTAACACGGATCACAAACGAAGAGCTAAGTGCACCAAAAGCAATTAAACTAAACGACTAAGCTTAGTTAGATCAGCTAAAACTGTACGCAAAATTATAATTTAATTTAATGGTTTGGTAAACTCAAAATAACCAATTATCTATTGCCCATAGTAAATAAATTCATTATTTTAGCATAGAGACGCAATGTTCTTGATTAGAAAACGGAAAAATGTAGAGTAATGCAAATTTGTTTTTTATTTTAAATTGTAATTACAAAACCTAAATCTGGCTGGGAAATGGTTGCCATCACTAGTGGACATTCCTGAACTTTTCAAATGCGAGCCTCGAAAAACTCCACTCAGATTCGCATTCTGCATAAAATGTTCAAATGTTGCCGCTGGCGGTTTGCTTTATTTGTTTTATTGCCGGCGAATAGGGCAGTTCACGGATGCGATAGGGTTAAGGGTGGGTGGGTTTGCTAGTGGGTGGGTGGTGGTGGGGGTGGAGCAGAGGCAGTGGGCAGGGCAGCGACAGCATGTGGCATTTGTGGTTTTGACGCTCTACAACCGACCACATGTAAATGACGTTCGCCGTTCGTTATTGGTGCGCGGTTGCCTCGCACAAAATTGTGTGTAAAATCAGGCGGGAAAATGGGGCCTTGCAAAAAAAATGGACTCTGAGGTTGGGGGGCTTCTTCGTTTGGCGAATGCCACTTGCCGGTTGCCTGACGGCATTTAATTTGTAATTGCGATTGCATTACGTGTCACGTGGCAGTAAAACCAATTTTTTCACCGGCTTTAATTGAGCGAAGCTGGGTTTTAAAGTTTATTTGCCGACAGCTGATTGAACTGCAATCGAATTGGTTATTGACAGGTTACCAATAAAGTGTGATGGAATAAAAGTTGCTATCTGGGTCAAAAAGACAAAGTTAAGTAACCTAAGAAATAACTATTTAAGATTTACTCCATATTGTTTGAACTCCATATTGGGGAAATGTTGAACAGCCTAATAAGACTAACTATAAACCTTAATTACTCATATACTTATATTTGGTAGGCGAACAACTTAATATTACATTTCATGACCATCTTGACCACTCAAATATTCTGTAGGATAAAACACGAGCATATTTCTGGAGTATTTATTTCAGACAAGCCAACACATTTCTCGAGTCTTTAGAATAAATACAAGTCTAAGCTTTCATTTACTTCAATAAGACTACAGAATTAATTCATCGTAAAAGCAAATTGTCCTTCAGACCGACCACAGATACCAACACATTGAATACATTTCGTTAAGGTATAATACTATATGCATTAGCTGAGTAAGCAATGTTTAAGGGCAATTTGAATAGGGGCCAAAGCCAGGCCAAAACCGAAAGGTTGACACGACCAACAGACACACTGGTGAGCACAAACAAAACGAACGAAATTCTGAAGGACATTTCAATCGAAGGGATGGCTTTTATTTTGCCATTGCCAATGCAATTTCGTGTGGATAACTCATTTAATGAGAAATCTAATAACAGACTTGTGTGTGCGGCACCGCAATGCCATCAAAGCCAGGCCAAAGACAAACAATGGCCAATGGCTCAAGGGTTTCCAGAGACACCGACTCAGTTACAGTTTACCGAGGGACATAAAATAATTTGCAAGCAAACAAACAGCTGAGAAATCAAATCCTTTTTCTGCACTCTGGGATAAGCTGTGATAAGCTCAAAGTAACTTCAAGAAGGAAATTTATTTGAATTGCTCACCTTGTGTTTTCATTAAGATATTTGTTAAATATTTATTTAAAGGAAATATTTTTTGTACATCTTTGTTTCAAGTTATAACAAAATTTTCGATAAATAATTGAACTACAAATTTATGAATTTAAGTTGAGTGAAGTCAGGGAAAAATAGTTTAAACATTTTTACATTTTTAAAAACCAGGCAAATATCTACTCGAAAATGGAATTCTTTAGTATGCTTAAACCATCAATCACAAGTATAATTAATATTATTTTAATCCCCAGCCCCTGGATCGTGATCAGCCGAATGGCAGGCCACAGTGGCGCTTCACAGTATTCGCCCAGGACGAGGGCGGCGAGGGCCTGGTGGGCTACGCGGACATCCAGGTCAATCTGAAGGACATCAACGACAATGCGCCGCAGTTTCCGCAGGGCATCTACTTCGGCAACGTCACCGAGAACGGAACCGCCGGCAGCTCCGTGATGACCATGTCCGCCGTCGACTACGACGATCCCCACGAGAGCACCAACGCCAAGCTAATCTACTCGATTGAGAAGAACGTCATCGAGGAGGAGACGGGGGCGCCCATCTTCGAAATCGAACCGGAGACGGGGCTCATCAAGACGGCGGTCTGCTGTTTGGATAGGGAGCGCACTCCGGACTACTCCATCCAGGTGGTGGCCATGGACGGCGGTGGTCTGAAGGGTGAGTGGGGCCAATAACCCTGGGTTAGGTTTCCAAACTCAATCAGAAAGGTTGTTTGCCTTGCAAAAGACTTTGCTGCGGGTGTTAATATCCTTTCTCAAAAGAATATGAGATGTCTAGGAGCAGGCATTTATATCTTGATTCCATTGACCTTAACTGATTGCCTCAAGATGTCGGTGGGAAATGGTATATTTGTTCTTTTATTTTATTTATTACTGAAACAACGATAAGTTATTTGTATCTACCAAAATCATAAGAATATTTAAAACTATTTAGTTTCTGTTTTTAAAATAGTAATCATCATTTATAACAATTTACTGTTAATATCAAGATTTCCCCTGAGCCATTTCTTTCCTCGATTTAATTTTTCATAAACCTACACCACAAAAAAAGTGAAAAACCAATACATTTTCGGGACAACCAATTTGTCAGGAAAAAGGCCCATTTATCCTGTCATTCCCCTAATCTTTCCCACTTCGTCTGTCTGTAATCGACGCCCATCTGATGCAGAATGTTTGTTCTGTCCTCTCTCCGATTTCACAGGCACCGGCACCGCCTCGATTCGAGTGAAGGACCTCAACGACATGCCGCCGCAGTTCACCAAGGACGAGTGGTTCACGGAGGTGGACGAGACGAACGGCACCTACATCCCGGAGACGCCCATCCTCACGGTGACCGTTCAGGACGAGGACGAGACGAACACGTTCCAGTACAAAGTGGTGCCGAACAGTGGTTTCGGGGCGGACAAGTTCGCGATGGTGCGGAATGGCGACGGGACGGGCTCCCTGAAAATCATCCAGCCACTGGACTACGAGGATCCCCTACAAAGTAGTGGCTTTCGGTTCCGCATCCAGGTAAACGATAAGGGTGATGACGGACCCACTGCCGGCGATAAATACCACGTCGCCTACTCTTGGGTGGTCGTTAAACTGCGGGACATCAACGACAATGTGCCCAAGTTCGATCGCGAGCATATCGAAGTTTCCATCTACGAGGACACGAAAGTGGGCACCATCCTCGAGCAGTTCCGGGCCACGGATGCCGATCAGGGAGGTCACTCGAAGGTCATTTACAAGATAGTTCGCTCCACGAATCGGAGAAGGCAGTTCGCCATCAGTGACAAGGGAGCTGTGAGCATACAGAGACCCTTGGACAGGGAAACCCTGGATAGGCATCACATTCAGATCTTGGCCATCGACGATGGCAACCCAGCTCGAACTGCCACTGCAACTCTAACCGTGATAGTCAAGGATGTCAACGATAATGCGCCGACTTTTGCCCAGGAATACAAGCCCACCTTGCCCGAGAATGTGTCGGGTAAAAAAATCCTGGAGGTGGCAGCCAAGGATGCCGATGATCGACAGAGAGGCAATGGAGGACCCTTCACTTTTCGACTGGATCCTTTGGCAAGCGATGAAATACGAGCGGGCTTCAAAGTGGAATACGATCGCAGTAAGTCTATCATAGTAATATTTATACATACTCTTTATTGTTTGTTCAGTAATTAAATACCAATTATATATAGAACTTTATCTGCCAGCAAAAAAATATTTAAATGTTAATCGTAATCGCAAACACTTGTCTGAACTTCAGCAGAGGGAAAAATCGCTTTGCATAATTAATGATGCAAAAATGTTTTTAACGCTCGCTAAGCCCAACATCTGTCAGCTTGCTGCAAAAAGCCAATGCGAAATAACCGCCAACACTTGGAAAAATTATAAAATTAAAGGCTGAGCATATTAAATGCATTAGCATTATTAAAAATGTATTCAATGAGATATGTCGTAGCAATTTATACCAATTACGCATCTCATTTAAGTAATTATGCAAATTAATATCAAGCGAATAGCGAAACTAATTTTTTATTTATTTAGACTCTGAATTTGTTTATGGGCATATAATGAATTCACCGTTTGGAAATCAATTATTTATATAGATACCCCAAGGGCCTTTGGGTCACAATTTCGTTTACGGCAGATATACTTGACACTCAAACACGTGCCATTTCAGCAAAAAATTAAAATAAAGAGGAGCAGAAAGTGATAAAAACACATCAATGAGAATGGACCCTAAAACAGAGGGACACACAAGTACAAAAGAGAAATAAGTCCTGAAATTCAAACTGGCAGGGCAAAAAAAAAAAAAAAAAACTGGTCGAGAAAATTGAAAAACTTGCTGTCAATGTCAGCGACAGCATTCAAGTGACACCTCAAATTTTCTTTCATTTGATCGATTTTATTGGGCTGCTCTCGAAAGTTCCCTTCTTTTTTAAGGTTTTTTGTCCGAGGTTTTTGTTTCAAATAACTCCAACAATGGCTACACAAAAAGTGCGGAGCAATTTCCATTCTACAGAAGAGGAGAGCAGAGAAAAAAGTTTAAAATCAAGATTGAGAGAGTAGTTTTTTTTTCGAAACTGACTTTACAAGTACACTTGACCAGTTTGGTTCATTAGCTATGGAAGGGTGGAATTTTTAAAGTGGCCACTTCTTCAACAATTTAAATAGAAAAACTGAAGATTTTCAATGTTTAAAATCATTATACACCCAAAAAAAAAATTAACAAAAATAGTAGTTGCAATCTAAACTTTTATTGTTGTGCATATACCCGTTCCTCAGGGAAATCCCACGATGGGAAAACACCAAATCGCAATGAAAACAAAAGCCGGCCGGACATGGTCAACTGGACGAACCGAGATGACGCCTCCAGGCTGAGTTCTGTCCACAGCATCGCCGCTTCTCTGTTTCTCCCATTTCTCCGCTTCTCCGGCACCAATTTCGACCAATTTCTCTATCTCTCCCTGCACTCAGTTGGCTTTTACACTGTTTTTTTCGGTTACCAACTTTGTGGCACAAACAATGCTGATGATGCTGATTGTCTGAAACATAATTCAATCACCATTACTATGCAAACAGAGTTTGGTTTAGCGTTTGATTTCGACTTTGATTGTGTGGCAATTGCCTTGAATGAATGAACCGAATCGGTTCGAGTGGCGAAGGGAAAAGTGGTGAATTGGTTCGATTTTGAATTGCAAGTTGTTTGATTTTAGCGTTTTCTGGTTAGTTTGGCCAAATGCAGTGGAGCAAATTTGTCCCGGAATGGGATTTGAATGCAGCTATGAAGTTTCGAAAACTGCGTGTGTCCTTTGCACAATACTGAGAAAAAAAAAATCTGAATAAAACATGTTAAAATATTAAAAATATATTTGCAACCTATGAATCTGTGTTATTAAATAAACAACCATATTCTTTTCAGGAGGTGACAATGGAAATGGCGTGGCCATCATCTCATCCCTTCGTCCCTTCGATCGAGAGGTGCAAAAGTCCTATGCCATCCCCATCGAGATCAAGGATAATGGAGCTCCTGCGATGACTGGAACCAGTACTTTAACCGTTACTATCGGAGATGTGAACGATAATAAAATGCTGCCGGGAAGCAAGTCGGTTCTGGTTTACAACTACCAAGGACAATCGCAGGATACGCAGATAGGAAGGGTGTACGTGAATGATCCCGATGACTGGGATGTTCCGGATAAGAAGTACTACTGGGAGGTTCAGGAACACCAGAGATTCAAACTGGACACGGATACGGGAATCCTGACAATGAGAGCGGGAACCAGAAGGGGTCGCTACCAACTGAGATTCAAGGTCTACGATCGGGAACATGGACAGGAAGACATTCCGGCCAACCTCAGTGTTACAGTGCGCGACATTACTGCAGAGGCGGTTCAGCAAGCTGGCTCCATGCGATTGGCTCACATAACCGATGAAGATTTCGTGAGAACTTGGAACCCGGTTAAGAACCAAGTTGAGCCCTCCAAACTCGAGAGATTCCGCAACAAACTCGCTGAATTATTGTACACCGATCGTGATAATGTGGATGTGTTCAGTGTTCAGCTGAAGGAGGGAAGTCCTTATCCCTTGACAGATGTCCACTTTGCAGCCAGATCTGCCACTCAGCAGCCATATTTCAAGGCAGTTCGCTTGAATGGCGTGGTGCAAATGCATCGCGAGGAGATTGAAAAGGATGTGGGTTTGAATATCACCATGGTCAACATAAACGAGTGCTTGCACGAGGGCAAGGGAAAGTGTGGCTCCAATTCGTGTACTTCTAAGGTGGAATTGGGCAAGAAACCTTACACGGTTAGTGTGAATCGCACAGCTTTGGTGGGAGTTCGTCTGGAGATCAGTGCCCAGTGTGTTTGTAGGGCCAGGAACTTCACGAACCAGGATTACAATTGCAGGAATCATCTCTGCTACAATGGAGGTCGCTGTGTGGAGACCCGAAATGGTCCAAAATGTGTGGCATGTCCGGTGGGCTACAATGGTCCACGATGTCAGCAGTCCACGCGAAGTTTTCGTGGCAACGGTTGGGCTTGGTATCCTCCTCTCCAACTCTGCCAGGAATCCCATCTCAGCCTGGAGTTCATCACCCGGGCAGCCGATGGATTGATACTCTACAACGGACCCATTGTGCCGCCAAAACCCGAGGAGGTTGTGATCAGCGACTTCATTGCCATCGAATTGGAGCAGGGATATCCACGGATGCTCATTGATTTCGGATCGGGAACTTTAGAACTCCGGGTGAAGACCAAGAAAACTCTGGATGATGGCGTTTGGCATCGATTGGACATATTTTGGGACTCGGAGAACGTACGTATGGTTGTGGACTTTTGCCGGACAGCTTTGGTCTCCGAAATGGAGGATGGCACTCCGCCGGAGTTCGATGATAATGCCTGCCAGGCCAGAGGACAAATTCCACCGTTTTCCGAGTCCCTCAATCTGAATCAACCACTTCAACTAGGAGGACTTTATCGACAGCATTTCGATCAAACTCTCTACAATTGGCAGTACGCCTTCAGCTCGAAGGGTTTCGATGGTTGCATACGCAATGTTATCCACAATTCGGAGCACTACGACTTGGCTTTTCCCGCTTTGGCTAGGAATAGTTTTCCCGCCTGTCCGCAAACCGACGAGGTTTGCCTGAAAACCGAGCACACAGCTCGTTGTTGGGAGCATGGCAACTGTGTGGCCAGCTTGGTTCAGGCCAAGTGCCATTGTCAACCAGGTTGGATGGGTCCCGGGTGCAATGTGCCCACCATACCCACAACCTTTAAGGCCCAGAGCTATGTGAAGTTTGCGTTGAGCTTCGAACCCGACCGATTTTCCACACAACTGCAGTTGAGATTTCGAACGCGGGAGCAGGGAGGCGAACTCTTCCGGGTTAGCGATCAGCACCACCGGGAGTATGCCATCCTGGAGCTCCGCAGGGGGCACCTCCAGTTCCGCTACAACCTCAACTCGCTGAGGAACGAGGAACAGCTCCTGACTTTAACCGCAATCGCAGTGAACGACGGCCAGTGGCATGTGATTCGCATCAGTCGCTATGGATCGGCGGCTTTAATGGAACTGGATGGCGGGGAGTCGAGGCGATACAACGAGTCCTTCCAGTACACAGGACACCAGTGGCTGAGCATCGACAAGCAGGAGGGCGTCTATGCGGGCGGCAAGGCCGAGTATACGGGCATCAAGACCTTTGAGGTCCAGTCCGACTTCCAAAGGAGCTGCTTGGACGACATCAGGTGAGGGCTAATTCCTCTTTGAGTTCTTTTCAAAGGCTTTTCTTTTCAAATGGGGGTATCAATAAGCTTTGATAGCAAGTTCTCATACTCTAAACTAAAGTTCATCGGAAAATACTAATGAATCATAACAACTAGCCAAGAAATAACTTAAAAATCAAAACATAAATATTACAACAAAAATTGCAGAATTTTTTTAAATTTAAAGTGATGCAAAAGCAAATCACTAAAGTTTTCAATACATATTTTATAAGTTTATTAATGTAATAAGTTTGCAAATCATCTCCAATATATATATTTTAAAGCTCCTAAAATGTAAATAAAGTAATAAATTATGCTGTGAATCAATGTTTCACTCCAATCGAAAGTACTTTTCAACCTTCTACTTGCCAAGTTGGTTCAGGTGCTCGCAGCTAATTAGAGAAACCAGGCAAAAGACACATTTGTGAGGCAGTTTGATTGAGAGCATTCAAGCATATACTTTGCCCCTTTCCCTTCCACAGGCTGGATGGGAAGCACTTGCCCTTGCCGCCGGCCATGAATGGCACCCAGTGGGGCCAGGCGACCATGGCCAGGAACCTCGAACGCAACTGCCCGTCGAATAGGCCCTGCTCGAATGTCATCTGCCCAGATCCCTTTGACTGCGTCGACTTGTGGAACGAATACGAGTGCACGTAAGTATCCCCTTTTTCCCATTTCCCACTTCCTGGCCAGTTCCTTTGTGCCCGGTGCATGGTAATTTATTGGTTTTTCGATTTAATTACAACCTACAACCCCTGTTGTTTGCCTTTGAGAAAACAGGCCAAAAGTTGTAATTAAATCGGTGCAAGGATCTAACTCTTCGATAGCTAATGGAAGATGTAAATTGTAATTCTAATTATTTTTCCGATAAAAAAAGAAACTTTGCAATGAGGCAGTAGATATGCACAGGTAGTTCTGCGTGGCAAACATAACTTGTGTATCAGAATGCCATTAAGGTAAAAGCATCCCGGAGTGAAATACATATTTCCGAGACAGTCTCCCTGCCATTTTCCAGCTGCAGGCAAGCAGACAATGCCAAACAGCAAATTGACTCCGAATGCAAAACAAATAATATCAATTGTCATTGCCCGTCTCCCTTTACTGATGGCAAGCCAGACACCGCAGAAATGGAAGGTTTCACTCAGAAAAATATAACTAAGTTGGGAAAAAAGATGTAGGATGAAACCAAAAGCCAATCTGAGATTTTAAAGATTTTTTATATAACACTTAAAGATTTATTGAATATATTTAGAGCAGTTTTAAACTACAAAATTTAAGGGAAATATAATAGAATAAAGAGAATTTTACTTTTGTTAGTTTTTGAATGATTTTCTCACCCTGCTTAAATTGCTCGGAAATATGTACTTTTTCCGAGTGTTTGCACATGGAAATATCTACATTTGCCTCTCCAGGAATCTGGGGCATGACTCCTGATCCTAGAGCTCCTGCTCTGCGACACCTCATCGATGATGGGTCGCCGTGGCAGTTGCCTCGCCCGAGAGCAAAGCACATTTTCCACATCATTAGTTTTGCGGAGTGACTCTATTCGAGACCCGTCGACAGCCAGCAAGGACACCCAATCCGGCACTGCATCATGTCCTGCCAGAACCCCTCCCCCCTTTCCCCTTCCCCCTTACTATCCTCCTCCTCCCGTTGGAGAAAGACTAAGCACCCCCAGCTGTGAGCTTCTCGCTCCATTTGCTTTCGGGAACAGAAACATCTGGGCCTTCTGCTTTTAAACACGTGTTCGCCAGACTCGCCTCCTTGCGGTCTTCCTTTTTATAAGATAAATTTAAATAGTCGCACACGCTTCGCCTTCAGGTGGCGACGTGTCATAAATTATGCTTACTTTAGCCCCAATTTCCAGTTGCCAGTTGTGGGCAGCAGTTAACGCAGTGCCACTGCCGGGAATTTGTGTCACTCACCCAGGACACTGGGATGTCGGACAAGGAACCGTCCTCAATTGGAATGCGAGATGACTTCAATTTAAGTCCAAAGTGTGCAAAGTGTGCTGGGGGTAACTTTTTTTTTTTTTTTTGACGCCCCGCTTAAAGCTTTAATTTCCCCAACGCTGAGATGTCCTGGGATTCTCTCGTCTAACCGAAACTTCACGCCCTTAATGCGCTTCACAAAATATTTAAGAGGGGCGCAGCTCAGGGGGGATTGTTCTATTCCGGGGCTGCAAAACTTTCTGCGAAAATAAAAAGTTTGTATTTCGGAACAGAAAAATTAGAGGTAAAAAACTACACTACAAAATGCGGGTAACTAAAAACGGAGAGTTTATTTCCATTAAATATTTATTTAGAATTATTCAAAAATGTTTCATACAAAAAACAATAAGCTTTTTGTTTGTTTTTATATTTTTTAATAAATGGTAGAGCGTTTTAGAGCAAAAAAGGTTGCATTAAAATGGTTCTACTTTGTTTTTAAAAGTTTCACTTAGAGTTTGCACCATCCTATTGCGTTTGATAAATTTTCGACCCATTAATGGCATCTGCTTATCTTAAATATGGAGAGATATATATTTTGCGCCTTAAGCCCGATATAAATCTGATTTCCCTAGTAGAGGGGAAAGGCGAATTAGAGAAAGCTTTGTGGCAGCATACATTTCCCTCTTCGCGCGGTAATCGCCTTTGAATTCGAAATAACTCACCAGTCCGCCGATTTTTTCGCTTTCTCGTTTCAGTTGCAGCGAGGGTCGCATCATGTCCTCGGACACGAAGGGCTGTGTTGATAGGAACGAGTGTTTGGACCTGCCCTGTTTGAACGGGGCCACCTGCATCAATTTGGAGCCGAGGCTGCGATACCGCTGCATTTGCCCGGAGGGATATTGGGGCGAAAACTGCGAGTTGGTCCAAGAGGGCCAACGCCTGAAGCTCAGCATGGGCGCCCTGGGGGCCATATTCGTTTGCCTTATTATCATACTGAGTAAGTACAGCTGACCGCAACTGTAGATACGGAAAACCCCCATCCCTCGCCCACCGTTGCTAAGCGGCTCCGAAAAATTCCCCATTCGTGTGTGACAATTAAGCGGCTTAAGCAGCAACATTCTTGCTTTCAACTCCGCCTCTCCACAAACTTGCCTTTCTGTTTTCCCATGTTAATGCAATTTGCTGGGGGGGGAAGCAACCTCCCCGAAAAAGCAAGAAAAAAATATAACGACACTGACATCTGTTTGGACAGTCGCAACCGTATGGGTTGAAAAAATAAAAAAAAATCTATGAGGTTAACATGGCAGAGAGCCATGCATTTTCAACAACTCAAAGTGGCAACAAAATCTTGTATTCGGTGCTTTATTTTTGTAACACTTTTTTATGCCCAGACAGGGCCAATTTGTAGGTTTAGGTAAAAAAAAAAGCAGGGCGGAAAATATTTGCATAGTGGCTAATTAAGCTTGGGAAACGCGAAAAACAAAGTTGTAGGAGCTTTCGAGAAATTGTTACAGTAATTGAGGCAGCATTTGAGACTTATAGAAGTGGTCTTCAACAACTTTAATAATTTCCACTTTAAAAGCGTTCGTTAAATCAGTAAATTAAAAGCAACACAATTATTTTCCGTATTGATTTTTATTACATATGGACAAAAATTAATTTAAAACTTTATCTTTATTGCAGCCATTGAAGCACTTGAGCTTCAGCAGATTTTTGGTTTTTTGCCCACTTACCAGGCTGCCTAAGCCAATTAGGGCCACTTTGTTGCTTGAAAAAATCGCAGAAAATGGAATAAATTTTTAGCAAAATGCTCGACACTTAATGGATTTTGCGAACGAGTGTTAAGTGGCTTTGGCCATTTGGATATTTTCCCTCTCAGCTGCCAATTCAGTTCCATGCAAATGCGTTTTCTCGCACGCAATGCGCGACAATCTATTTTGTTTGCCCAGCTCGTCTGGGATTTGAAGGGATTTTCAATTAGCGCAACATTTTCGCCCTGGTCCAGATTGGTTTTATGCTCGACTCTTTCTCTCTCGCTTTCTCTGTGCGAATTCTGGCAAGCTGTAGGCCATTTATTTGGGGCCATATTTAAAAGTGACGCTGATTTATCCGGCCAAAAAGGGGAGTCGCGCTTTAATGAGTACTTGCGCCAAAGTTGCAGCTGGGCCAACAACAAAAGGCGAAGCTCCAAGCTAATTAGTCGCTGCTAAGGCAGATAATTACACTGTTGGCTGCGGGGTGGAAAAACAAAGGCTGGAAGTGGCCATAAAACCGCTAAACCGCAAAATAGGCGCAATAAATAAACGAGGAGCCGTCGCACAGAAGTACTTTCATCTTGCTCCTTTTTTATGATGTGAAAATATCCAAGGAGCCGAAACACAAAATCTGACAGCCGCAGACTTGTCTTTGGTTTCTGTTGATTCGCCGTAAAGTGGCGTAAAGTGTTTTGCGAGTTGAGGGCTTTGGGAGGGGGAGTGGCAAAAAAACAAACTAAATAATTATCTAACATTATTTACAGTCGACGCTTTTTCATGTCCTGTCTGTGGAGCTCCTGCTGTTGTGTAATCTGTGAATCGCTGAACTGTGTTTTAGCATAAAGTTTCAAGTATCCGAGTGGAGCGAATACAAAGTTCCCGTCGCCTTGGCCCGACGAGCTGACCTGGTCAGCAAGTTCAGGCCAGCAACAAGATATTGCCAGGGTCCTTTTCCTTTTATAGTTAAGTGCAAACAAAGGCCGTTAAAGAGCTTTCGGTCCGGCTTTTGTTCATCTTACAGGATATTTTAGCCTTTGTTTTTGCTAGTTTTTATGTAGGTTACTTGATGTTCTCCTCCGGCAGTTGTGTTATTTTTCGGGCTGCTACTAGTTCTTGTTTTATTTGCCTGGTCGAGGTAATGTTGATTAAAGGTTGATGAATGCCCAGTTGGCCCTGGCCTGCTTACCCAAAAACTGTTCTTATACCATATCGCCAGCTGGAGCCTTTAAATGGAATTGAAGCCAGTATTTTTAGTGCAAATAGAACCAGTAGATTGGTTATGCCAATAATTAAGTTTAGTGCTTTACTGCATAGTAGGATTTTTGAGCACGTTCCAGCCTAAATGGAATTTCATAACTTTTCTCGGGCAGAAAATACTTTTTGCACGTCTGAACAATATTGTGTAAATTAAGTTTTGTTTCGGTTGCGCTTGGAAGCAGAAAATGCTTAATAAATTCACGAAGTTTTAACTATAATTTGAAACTACTTTTTTAAATAACAAAATTTTTGGTTATAGAACAAAAGACTTGTCAAGAATTAATTGGAAAACTAATTGAAATTTTCTCCAAAATATTTTGGGTGTATATATTCTTTTTAATTTCGTGTATTCAGAAACTAATTGTCGCCTTGGCAACATTTGTAGATCGAAAAAAAAACTTTATGAAATTGTCTCTGATTTACGAAAGTTTTGAAAACAGATGCGGTCTGCAACGCTTTAAGCACGAATTATCGAAGATTCCAGTTACCTCTTTTTGGATGGGGGCACATTAATAGTAAAACTTGTGCGGCAAGATAATTTAGAAAGTTTGCTGGCTCCTTTCTGCGGTTAGAGACAAATTTAATGCACTTCAAGCCATGGCCAAGAAGAACTGGTAGTGAACTATTTTCGGTTCAATTCGGTTCAGTTCTCGGTTGTGGCTTTGGTCTTGTGTCTTGCTGCTGTTGCAACTTTATGCTGTAATTGTTGCATTAAACTTTACAGCTTCCAAAGACACAGGACAACTTGAATAGTGGGTGCTTCAAGGAGGGATGGGATGGATCGTGGTCCCCCACATTGACAGTCATTTGCCAACTAAGCGGATTACAAGTCGGCCAAAAACATTCGCATTCCAAATGCACATTTCGAGTGTCTCCGAGTCGTTGTAGCATGAAAACTTGTTAAGTTCCATGTCCTTTCTGCGTTTGCCCTTTTACTTTAGTTTGCTTAAGTAGCATAAAGTTATTAATAAGTTTCCCTCCACTCAACCACTGCAACATATTCTGCCACCCTCCTTCTGTTTGTCGGGTAAACAGCACTTTTAGCCGGCAAAAATAAAAAGCAAAAAAAAGGAGGACTACCAAAAGAGAATCTCTCTCTCGTAGACTAGCATTTTATCATTTGCGCTTCAGTTGACAGGAATATTAACTTGGCTCTGGCACAGTGGGGTTAAGCAAACAGCTAAGTAAAAATAATTAAAACTCTGACTTGACTCCTCCAAAATGACAAGCCAGCCAAGGATATTTCTTTGGCATTTGCCGCCCCCTTTTTTCGGTTTTTAATGCCCCAGCATTTCTTCTTGGCTAAGCGGATTCATTAGTTGCAATAACTGCCAGCTGACTTTTGCAGAGACAGGCACAAAGTTCATTTATAAGGGGGAAGCATAAAACATTTCTTCACTGGAGAGTTGATTTCTTCTAATTGTCGGCACCGCGGCCTTGGAACCATTATCTCCTTACATTTCTAATGCTTTATTTGTTGTTTCACCCATAAGCTTATTGATTTTTGCAGCCAGGGTTTTTTGATGATTTTCTAATGTAGCATTTTTAAAGCAATAAAAATATTAACACTTTTCCTCTATTTAAAGTCGCAAAGATTGCGCTGCTTTTCCTTGTTAAAGAGTGAAAAAACAGAAGTGGAAAATGGAAAACATCTTTTCCCTATATTTAATTACCTTCATTAAATTTAAATGGAGTTGTTGTTATGGCTCTGACAGTTAACAGACACGAAACAGACTCTCAGTCTTGCTTTGGTGTTTGTTTCACTGTTTCAGTTCTTTTTTTGCCTTGCTGAAAAAAAATTACAATGGACATTGGCCGAAAGGGAGATTTTTGGTAATGGAAACTAGAGAAAAATGTAAGCTATTTTAATAGATACTATTTAAGGAAATATCTTACGGAAAATGAGACAATTTAGATACGCTGTTGGAAAATCAGTACAAGAAATGAAATACAAGATTGAAAATTCGAATTTTCAATTGAAGAAAAATTTATATTTAATTGGGTGTTCAATACGCAAATGGGGTAAAGCAAATCTCAATTTTTATAACCCAATAAAATGCTTTTACCCACATAAAACTGAAAATATTTTAACCAGGTATCCTTTGCTGAAGAATGTTCAATATTTAGTTAATGTTCCTTTCAATATATTTCAGTTCTCGCCCTGATCTTCGTGATATATAGCCGCAAACGCAAGACGACCAAGAAAAAGAAGCGCTCGGGACCCGAAAAGGATGTCCGGGAGACGGTAATCAGCTACGAGGACGAGGGCGGCGGCGAGGACGACATGACGGCCTTCGACATTACGCCACTGCAAATACCAATCAGCGCCCAGGGAGGACCGCCGGACATCGCCGCCTGCAAGATGCCCATAATCTGTGAGTAAACATTCGAGAGTGGAGTGTGGGGTGTGGAGAGTGGAGGGTGTCCTTATGGAATGGCCAAGTAATTGGGCGGTTGTTTGCCCTCAGACCCCGTGATGACGCTGCTGCCACCTGGCCAGGAGCTGAACGTGGCCTATCTGATGGAGGAGCGAAAGCAGCGCATCGACAAGGACAACAACGCACCGCCCTTCGACGACCTGCGCAACTTCACCTTCGAGGGCAGCGGCAGCATTGCCGAGTCGCTGAGTTCGCTGGCATCCGGTAAGGGTTCTTTCTACACTCGAAACTCTTAATACTTGTTAAGTGCAAACAGTCATTTAGAAAATAAATACCTCAGAACAAAAGAGTCCATAAGCACACATTGTTTTTGCATTTAAAAAAACCTGCAACTATTTAAAAGAGCTCAAGACTATTTAAAATAAAAGAAATAATTTATATTACTGTGTACTACGAGTTTTCAACTTTATTTCACTCTAAACAAATAGACTTGTGACTTTGTCATTATCCTATCAAGTTAACAAATAAACCATTGAATAATCTTAATAAGCTTATAACCTCTTTATGTTGTATAGTCATTTTAACAGCTTACATAAAGCTTCTTAAAGGGCTCAGCATATAAAATTTACATAAGATGCAATTCAAATTCAAGTTGAAGTTTAATCCCCTACTAGACCTTTAAAATCGTTTTGAGTGTAAATTAGGAATCCGAGTGCAATCGAAACCTAATTTTGATGGCCATTTTCGAGATTCGTGAAACCTGCTAACTCGTTGGTCCCCCTTGTCCAATTGCAGGCACTGATGACGAGAATCAAGACTTTAACTATCTACAGAACTGGGGTCCACGTTTCAATGCCCTGGCCGCCATGTACGTGCACGATAAGGCGAAAGCCAAAAACGCTCCTTCGGAAGGGGGCGGGGGACCCGCGGAGGGGGCGGGGCCCCATCAACGTCGCCGTTGAGCGGAGGAGCTGGCGATGTCCTGGCGGTGGTCGCAACGGGAAGTGGAGCAGGTCCTGGCGGCGGTGGCAACGCCAGTGGGTTAATGCCCCTGCACGACGTCGACAAAGTTGTATTATAAAAATAAATAGTTAAGTTGTAGTTAAAAACGATGTTTCAGCTGCAAGCGGAATGGAGGGAAGCCCTCCAATCGAAACAGGTGTTTTGTGTATTCGTGTGTCTGGTTTAGGGTTAATTGTATGTACATGTGGCTCATTTAAGACTAACGTAAGTTTTTAGGTGTTTCCCCACTTATAAGATACTGAGGGGCTAAAATAGAAAATGAGTTATAACCAGTAAGAGGAAACTTCTTTCGTTACTTGCTAAACTGTCAATAAAAGAATACTTTTTAAAATTTTGTTGGTGGAAAAAGAATATTAAAATTGGTTTAAAATGGTTACAAATGCTTTAAGACAATTTACTTAATCTCCTGTTGTTATGTTGTTTAAATATCAAAGGTTAATTTAAATCAAAATTAAAAAAAAATACACTAATTGGGATATATTTTATCTTTCAAAGATACCATTTTCTTTCTGTGTCTTCCTTTCAAGACTCGTCTCTTCAATGATATTCAACTGAACCAACTGATAAGTCGATGAATAGTTATATAACTAAATTAAACGAGTATTTAAGCATACTACAATGAAAAAGAGTTTATAAAACTTGCTACACAATAGTTGAAGACCCTGTATAAATACGGCGTTAACTCTCTAGCACGTAAGTTGAACGAAACTAAACCGAAATTTCGCCTATCCTCCCAGAAAACGTTGAGCGTTGCAACTTTTGTGTGCCACCGACAGGGGAACGTGTCCGATTGCCACCGACCAGGTGGCACCTCAAAGCCCTGGAAACCAACGTCGAAAGCTGCCACCGAACCCACGCAGCCACAAAAGTTTGCAGAGCAGAGTAGAAATTTAATAAGAGTAAAAAATCATAACTAACTTTGGTGAAAATTAAAGGCAAGGGGGGAATCTCTACTGTAACATAATTTTGTACATATTAAATTCTGTAACTCTACAATTAAACTAAACGAAAAAATAAAGAAAACAACTAATAGACTAATTAACTACATTTAAACCTACATTTAATTAACGACAAACAGAAGCCGAAACAAAATACGAGTGTTGATCAAACCAATTTCATATTTCTGCATTTACTAGCAACTACACAACAAGTACAGAAAATGAAAGTATTAATAATAATATTGTAATATGTATTAAATTATGAGTCATACACGAAAAACGGTTAATTAAATTTACGTTAGTTAATGGACAATTTGTTAGTAGCTAGCATCTAAGCATAATTTTTTAAAAATCAATAAAGCCCCAAAAAAATATACATAAAAAAGCAGAGTAATACAATTCCATAAAAAGAACATTTCCATTGGAATATCCCCTGTATTTTTGTACGACTTCTGGGTGGCGGCCGAGCCAAACCGACAATCCGCTTGTTGACACTGCCTAATGATCCTTGGACCCTCGACTTCCGGGCCAGACATTGCGGCTCCGTTAAGTCCCGGCAAAGGTGTCCAATTGGAAGCCGCAGAGAGGAAGCCACTTTCAGCGCCTCCTCGAAAAGCGGAGTTCAGCGGAGCGTTTGACAGGCCAACATGCATTGCCTCTTACAAAAACCAGAGGCTGTCAGACGACTGGATGAGCCGACGGTTTGTGGCCCAATCTCCTCTAGGCCGTAAAAAATGTTGGGCAGTGACCTTTGAAATTTTTCGGTTCAGGTTGGCGCTTTTTCTCCCCAAGCTTCTGTCGATTTTTCAGGGGCGAACGCATTTCACAGCGCATAATAAATGAGCCGGTTTGAGCCATCGATATGAAATATGGTCACCAGCCGTCAATTTATCCCTACTCCGGTTGGTTATCCCACTTAACTTCTCTTCACGGTATGGATAAATGGATGGCTTATATTGACAGTAAAAAAATCGGTTGAAGTAAGCTGAAAATCGTGTTGTACTCACTGAGGTAATTACGTGATACGATTAATGTGCGCAACTAATTCACAATGTTGATAAGCCTATAATAAATCGTAATTTTTTTACTTTCATAGAACCACAATGTTTTTAAAACTTTATTTAAGAGGCTTCCTTTATGTTCCTTAAAGAGTACAACTCTACGCCTTTATTGCCTCTAATTTCGGTAGTCTATTGATGTTTAACATGCAATACGGCATAAATAGGCATTCAATAGTTCAAATGCCGGGAAGCAAACACTTTGGAAACCAACTAATTAGTTGCATTAACACTATATGCAACACACAAACACATAGATACGCAAATATAGCTTATTGAGTAAAGTTTATCTTACAGTTGCAACAGACAAAACCACCTAATTCAGGCTGCATTGAAAGCAAGGAAAACCCTTCAGCTTTAAACACACAGGAAATAATTAGGATTTAATATCAACGTGAATATCAAGCTTAGCTCATTCTTTAGGGATTGGGAGTTCTGTAAATTTTTGAACGGCTTAAAGGCATAAATTTAAAAGGGGTTCTAATCCTTTTTCATCTACCACAAACACTTTTCCATTGCCTTCAAACTAAAATAAATAACTTATTCATTGGAAAGACCAGATTTTACCTTTATTCTTAATTTATATTTATGCAAATATTTGGGAATCGTAGCGAGACGGAAGCACAGCTGCAATATTTGTATCCAAATTGTATGCTAATTACACATATTTTCGCCTGATTTGCTGCATGAACTTGCGTTTTACGCGCTGAACAAAATAAATTATTAATAAAAGTCATGCAATTCGCTTAATTATTTTCGCCCACGACTATTCGCAACTCTAGCCTGAAAAATATTTGTGGATTACCTTTTCGCCCACGTAATGCTGAAACTCTTGCCCTATGTTTACAATTTGGTCAGAAATTTCCATTTCCATTCGCTGCCCATTTCCAAACGAAATAGCCAAAAACATTACCCTGGATGTTGTTATTATTTTTAATTGAATTCTGGTCCAGAGGGGAAGGGGAACGCGAACCTAGGACTTAGAGCGAATGCATTAAAGGTATTTACCTCGTCATTTTGCCAGCAGTTATGGCCGGCGAAAATGCGCAAACCAGTAAATGAAGCTCACCAAATTAATATTCGTCGGAATTCAGAATAAATAATCACATTATCATCAAGCTCAATTACAAGCTCAAATATTTATTGCGAAAATGGAAAATTGAGTTGAAATGGGCAACAGAACACTATTGGAAAATATCTGCGAAGAAAATTCGTGTATCACTGCCCTGTTATGAATTAAAAGTTGCTTTCTTTTGAGGAGTCATATTTATAGAATCAAATCCAGGAGGAGGAACTATTCAATTTTCAGAAATATAGAGTCGTAGTGGACTGATTAAGAATACTTAACGTTCAGAACGCCATCGTATAATTTTACTATACGTAAGATTTAACTTTTTTAGAAAAATGGTGATTATTTCTTTTGGCTCCCATAACAGCGAGCTTTTGATACTGAGCTACTTTTAAAGCGCCATCTATGTATTACAATTTAGGACACTGCTTGACTTTTTCAAAACAAAACTGCTTTCTGTGAATTGGCGCCATCTACGTGTAATGCTTACGGAAAAAGTTTAAAAAGGGAAACCCCAGACGTTCAACACAATCGGAAACCATTTTAACACATCTGGCAATGCCAATATAGTAACATAAATGCAATTAATGTTTTGTTTGTCTAATGGTTTCGATCAAAATAAAAGGAGTATTTACGGATTAAAAATGATAACAATATATTTTTCATGTTTTTTTGAGTGGAGCTGATTTTATGTAATAAATATGTTGCACAATCAGTTGTGAAACAATTTTATACTGTAAAAGAATTAGAAAACAAAAAGCAATTGAATATATGTACATATAACTGTCAACTGAATTATAAAATTGACTATTTATATTTTAACATTATTTTGTATTCTTAAGTTTTAGATGTAAAGCATTGAAAATACTCATTAACTTGCTCATTAAGTTTTTAGCATATACTTCAAACAACTGTGCAGACCAACAAATTACATTAATATTGACACCCAGGCAACTAAAGCCAATCAAGCCACTTCATTCAAGAAAACAATTGTTAAAGAAGCGAGAAAAAGTCGAGAAAGAGGCCAGAAAAAAGAGATTCTCACGCCCAAATGGGCCGCCAAAAAAAAAAGAGCTCCTCATCGAGTAGTTAGCTCCCCGCGGAGTCGCTCTTCTGGCCACTTGCTGCTAATGCGAAACAAACGAAGTGCGGAATGTTCGGGGGACGATGGACCACACGTTGAGCATAACGATCAATCATACAATTAATAATTCAATGTGTCGGCTGGGAGACGGAAGAGGTATACCTGGCAGTGCTGTCAAAACTACCAGAAAGCCCGAAAACATCGAAATAAATACGTTTAATCAATGGGAAATTAAATTTAATTAGCGTGGCCCAGAGCCAACAGAAAAAGAAGGAGGCTGGCAGCGATGTGTTGCCAGGTTTATTTATGTATTCTAGTAAATAAATCAATTTAAATTACTAAATTGTCGCCATGACGATAACAGCCAAAAGCTTTTAAAAAACAAAAGGAAAAAAATAAAAGTTACATGTGAAAACCGAGGCTATAATTCTCTTTGTTAAATGTTCCTTTTTTTTCTTAATTATATAATACAAGGCAAGATTATTGGAATACATTTTTAAAATTTTTATTAAATTTAATGGATTTTGGCAATTTAAACAAGAAGTAAACATTTAGTTACGAAACAATTTTGCCAATAATTTTGTTTAACTCCTAAGGGTTAAGCACCATTCATTATGGGCAGCAATAAAAAATTAAATATACTTCGCTCACCGCAGAACTCAAAACTGTTGAGTGTTAAAATTCGTTTTTAATGGCAAATGAAAAACGGCGATAATTTCATGTCAAACAGAGAATAGGTGGAGAACTGGTTGGAAACGGACATATGCCGCGATACATATTTAATTAATGATGTTTTTAATCAACGCGCAATTTGTTAATAATTAAAATAGACATGCCTAACAAGCAGTCGGCAAAAAGTAAGATTATCTTAATACGTGTTAACCGATTTTTTCCGCTCTGTGCTGTTTTCGACTAAAATCAATAATGAGCTTCCAACTGGAGTCTGTTGGGGAACATTTTATTTTTCTCGTCTGGATAAAATGTTTTACGTTTTTTTTGGTGTGGTTGTCGTTGACCTTTGCCAAATGGCCGACGGTTGCCGTTCCTTTTTGATGTTTAGGTTCAAAGTGGATTACTATTTAAGGTTTATACTGCGTACTTTAAAATTGTTTATGAATATTTAGGACGGCTGAAAGAATTTTTAAAATTGAAATTGAATTCAATTTTTAATGAACACATTTTCATTTACATTTACATTTCTGATTAAGTTTGAAATTCAATTTAAATGAATCAAGTTTTATATCCTAATCTGCTAACAACTTTCACACAGTTTTGAATGACAATAAAAATGGATACTTGCTAATAACTTCATCTAGTTGTGAAAACTGTAATCCAATCAAGGCGAACAGTTTGACCTCTTTGCCATTTGTCTCCCAATAATGAAGGATACGCAAAACTCTTGTCTTGTTTTCCCCCTACTAAAAACCCTCTCAATTTTTAGTTGTTCTTGTTGGCCAGATGCTCCTCTGTTGGCCAAACTTTTGGAGCTGACACTTTTATCGGACTCGTGGTCAAAATGCAGGCAAGAGCATTTCAATTTTTTTTTCTCTTCCATACTTTTTATTTTGCCCATTTTGTCCAAAACTTTTGTGTTTGGAAGCGAACGCGTCAGTTTTAATGAATGACGAACGGAGAGGTCACTTAAAGAAATATTATATAAGTCCAATATTTTATATCTGTTTGTAAAAAAATATTAGGTTTGGTAAATTGATAAATAAAAAATAAAGCAAACACAACAATATCTGCAGAAAAACTATATTGGTAACTACACTAAAGTATTCTGCTTAAATGGCATACATTCTTAAGGCTTTTCATCAATTTTTTCTGTGTAGAACCTAAAGGCGGTATAGCTTGACTGACTGACATGGATCCCGGGACCGAACCGCATTGGATCCCCTCGTTTTCGGGCTCAAAGCGGAACTGTCCGCAACACACCTTACGCACGTCTTTCCAACTAATTTCTCTGCGCTCCTCAACTTTCTCGCCGCGCGTTTTGACCAAGTTTTCGACCCTGCCAGAAGTTTATTAACTGTCCCCCGACTGGAACTCCCCCTCGCGATTCGATGCTCTCCATAACAGCGATTCTAAACGGCTCTCACACAAAATTTTGGTAAGGTTATTAGAGGGTGTGGAGGGGGGAATGGATGGTGATATTAGGGGGTCCGAA